ATGTGAGTGAGACACAGTAGTCAAAAAAGCTAATGTGAGTTCAGGCTTCATTTAAAGAGAGATGGGATCCAGAAAATGAGGAGAGGAGAGTCACGTTGTCCTTGACCACATCTAGAATACTGAGATCAGTTTAAGATGGTTTAGGTTAAAATGGACATTGGCAAACAGGAACATGTCCAGAGTAAAACAACCAGGATGGGGAAGAAACTGGAGACCAGCCCATAAGAGCATCTTTAGTCTAAGAGAAGAGAAGACTTAGGGGGTTCATGTTAACCGTCATTAAGTATTTGGAGAGCTGTCCACCAGAAGACAGATTAGATTTCTTCTGCTTGGTCCCAGAGGGTAGAACTAGCAATAGTAGGTAGCTAGTGCTGAGAGGTAGAGTTGGGCTAGATGTAATGAAATACTAATTCTTAGAAATGTTCAGAAGTGAAATGGGCATAGACTAAGAGGTTGAATGACTCATTATTGGGGGTAGTATAGAAGGGATTCCTATTCAGGGATGGGTGGGACTAGATGGTCTGAGATCCCTGGGCTTCTGAGATTCTATAAAAAGGACCTGGATTTAAAAGACCTGGGTCTAGAAGCCATCTCTGCCACTTATTAGCTAGATGACTTTGGGCAAGACAGCATTTTCTCTGGCTGTTCCCTGTGCTCCGAACACCCTCCCCTACTCATTTTTGCCTTTGACTTTCCCTGGCTTCCTTCAAATCTCAGTCAGTCTGAAAAAAGCCTTTCCCAGTCTTCCTTAATCTTAGTACCTTCCCTCTGATATTTTCTCCAATTTATCCTGCATATATTATTTGTATATAGTTGTTTTCATGTTGTCTCCTTCATTAGACTGTGAGCTCCTCGAGAGCAGAAACTTTTTTTTTTTGCTTTTATATCCCCACAGTTCAGTACAGTGGCTAGCACACAGTAGGCACTTAATAAATGCTAGTTGACTGACTGACTTAATGGCTCTGTGCTTTGGTTTTCTCATCTATAAAATGAGAATAATATTGCACTATATCTGTTATAGGAGGGTTACAGAGATCAAATGAGATAATGTGCGTTAAACATTTGGTAAGCTGTTTTATTCAATTGCTGCATCAGACCATTATACAAATGTCATTATGAGTATTTCAAGTTCTGAAAAGATTGGTGATGGCATCTCACCTCATCCTGATTCACTTCAAGTCATTTTTCTACGCTTATAAACTTGCAAACATGTAATCACCCAGAAGACCTCCATTCAAGTTTGAATCTTAGCTCAGCTCTCCACTCTCTGTATAACCCTGGAAATGTCACTTTACCCTTCTAGTCCTCAGTTTTTATATCTGTAAAAGGAGGGGATTGGAGTAGATGATCTTTCAGGCGCCTTCCACTTTTAAAATTCCCTTTGAGCACCTCCGAGAAGGACCAGTGAGCTGGGTCCAATAGAATTCCCAGTCCTGTGGAGTCAGACAGTGATACCAACATCAAGCCTGCAGCTGGAACCCTCCTACATGGAGTTAAGCTCGTTTTGGAGAATGGGGAAACAAACGCTCTTCTTAATTTAAGACTGAGTTGGCAAAAAGATTGTACTTAGAGACTAAAACTTGACAAGAAGCCCACTGTCCTCTAAACACTGCGTTACTGACACTCGAGGGGCAATCGCTGCAGCTGCCACCAGGAAAATCCACTTGGGCACCATCTCCCCTCCCACCCCCCGAGTGTCTCATCACAATATTAAACTTTCTGAGCTGGTTCTCAGTGTGCATTTACAGATGATCTTGTTCTATCCAGTTACTGCAGAATTAAAGCAAAGCGTTGCCTGAAAACCTGCTTTTGGTGTTACCTGTTTGAATCTGGGCAAGTAGTCCCGTTTCCTCATCTGTAAAAATAGTGGCTGATAATGCTTGCCCCATCCTGCTTCTCAGGGGAGTTATGAAGAACACCTAGAATCTTAGATCTAGACCTTAGAGAGCTTCCAATCCACTCTCCTCATTGAGTATTTGAAGAAACTGAGGCCCAGGCAGGTTGTGAGTGCTTCTGGTCATGCAGGAAGTAAGTGGCAGAACCAGGATTTGAACCAAGGTCCCTTGACTCCAAATCCGAGATTTTTCACTGCATTAGGCTGCATTTCACTTTTTAAACCTTAAAACAATCCATAAATATGAGTCATTCCTAGCAGTAATAATAAAATCAGAGAATCATGGAATCGTAGCATTTCGGAGCTGAAAAGAAGCTTGAAGTTCATCAGATCCAAATTCCTTATTTTGTAGTGGAAACTGACTCCTAGAGAGGAGAGGGGCTTTTCCAAGGTCACACAGTTAAGTAGGGTCAGAAGGAAAACCAGGTATGGTGTTTTTAATATAATATTTGTAAAATAGCTATTTAAAACAACAGTAATAATTATGTTAATCAATGAGCACTTAAGTGATAATTGTGTTCCAGGCGCTGTACTAGGCATAAGAGTTACAAAGAAAAAAGCAAAACGGTTCTTGCCTTCAAGGAACTTATATAGTCTAGTTAGTCTAGTGAGGGGTCCTAAGATCATAGATTTAGAGCTAAGTCCTTTAGAGGTCTTAGAGTTACCCCACTCCCGCATTTTATAGATAAGGAAACTGAGACATTGAGAGAGAGGTTAACTGACTTGCCATGGGTCATATAGCTAGTGAGTATCTGAGGTGGGATTTGAAAACAGGTCTTCCTGATTCTGGTATTTCCTGAATCTATATCCAATTCCCTATACCATACCACACTGCCACTGTGTACTGCTATGTACAAAATAGAAATAAAAGGGTTTGGGAAGGATGAGGAAAGGCTTCATGTAGAAGGTGACACTTGAGTTATCCCTTGAAGGAAACAAGGAATTCTAAGAGTAGAGGTGAGGAAGGAGAGCCTTCCAATCTGATACACAGGTATGGATGGGGATGGGACTTGGATTGCTTTGTGTGAGAATCATCTCTCTGCTCCAGGCATTTTCTCTGGCTCCGCTCCGGCTCAGGACACTCTCTTTCCTCATCCATACCTCCTAGCTTCCTCTAAGTCCCCTCTAAGACCTCACCTTCTATAGGAAGTCTTTCCCAATCCCTCTAAATTCTGGCGCCTTCCCTCTTACTGATTTTCTCTTTCTCCTACATATAGCTTGTTCAAACATATTTTTTTTTCTTGTTGCCTCCCCTGTTAGATTGTGAGCTCCTAGAGGGCAGCCACAAAAATGTTTATTGATTGACTGAATGAATGATTAATATAGCTAGCAAAGTGGGTTGTGAAGGCCAGACAGAATCACTAATATAGCTAGCAAAGTAGGTTGGGGCTGGGTTGTGAAGGCCAAACAGAGGAGTTTATATTTGATCCCTTAGGTAAATGACACACTTAGCAGTCTTCTCACATGAATATTCATGTGTGTATGAAGGATTAAACTCTATGGTACCTAGAGAAAGGGGAGTGAATGATATGACCTTTTGACATTCAAGTCCAGTCCTAGAAGTCCACGATTGGGATTGAAAACCTAAACAGCAGGAAATCAGAAACACCCAACAGGAGATCAAAGAAGGTTCTGTGGTTTTCCAGCCACACATTGGTCTTTGTTTCCAGGTTTTGCCTAGGACTTTCAGCTTTAGCATCTCAGGCCAAAGGAAACCTGCCTGTTGTTAGTATAACTCCTATTTTGATGGCATGTTAAGGTCTGTGAGGCTTTTTTTTTTTTTTAAGTACTGTGAAGGACTTTCTCCCTGTTTTACAGATGGAGATAACTGAATTCTGGAGAGGGGAAGCAACTTGTCTATGGATATAAAAGGAGCTAGTAAAAAAACAAGGGACAGAACCCAAGCCCCCTGACTGCTCTACCTTTTCCCTCTATGCCATGAATACTTTACTAAAGGGGACTAAGCATTAGTTTTCAAAGACTTCTGACTTTGATCAGGGGCCGCACTCAGTATTCTGGTATAGGTCTTTTCCTCTGTCTTCAAGGATCAGCTCAGATGCCACTTCCTCAGGGAGCTCCTAACTTGCTAGGTGAAAGCGGCCTCTCTCTCCCCAAACTTCCCACAGTGCTTTGCTTGGACCTCTTTCTTTCATCATAATGATTTATGTACCTATTCGTCACCACATTAGATTGTAAGTCCCTTGAAATCCAGGTCTATCATGGAGTGACAGGACCTTGATTCAAATCCTCTGCCAACCTTCTGACTGTCTGGTCTTGGGCATAATAATAATGATGATGATGATGATGATGATGATGATAAATAACAACTAACATTTATATAGTGCTTACTATGTGACATGTCTTTTAATTTCTCTGGTTCATAGTTTTTCATCTATAAAATGAAGGAACAGGACCAGATGACCTCTAAGGCCCCTTCTAGTTCTTAATCTGTGATCCTATGATTTTTGTGTACAGTACCTTATACAGAGCGGACCCTTATAAAATGCTTGTTGGATTGAATTGAATTTTCTGACTTCTACTTGCACCATGGAAAGAAGGATTAAAGGTACAACTAAAGGTGGAAGAGAAAAAGATCAATTTAAAAGACGGGGGCCCAAAATAAATTTCTTTAGGAGAGGTGGCTTGCATGTTATCACACTCAAAAATATCAGTAAATGAATGGAAAAAATGTAGACAAGTAGTATTGCCAACCAGGGCTATATAGGATTTTGGAGCAGAAAGAGCTCACACAGGAATTTTGCTGGGTGCAATTCCTGTTAAATCTAATGAATTCTAACTCAGAGACTAAGGTCTGGGAAGCCTGACTTGCAAGAGAGATAGTGTATTGTAGGATGAACTGTGGACCGAAAGTCAGGAGACTGGGATTTATATTGTGGTTCCATTGAGAACTAGCTGTGTTGCCATGACCAAGTCACTACAATTCCCTGAGTCTCAGGGAATTTCATAAACCTTAAAATGCTAGAGATTCATGAGCCTCTAAATTATTGTTATTATGCTGTACTTCTCTGGAGAAGTAGTCCACATGGTAGAAATGTTACATTCTCTCCTCCCCCCAATTCTTAATAGCAGAGGTTAGAAGACACACCTGGGGAAGTCTTCATCCTGCCATTCCTCCTTCACATCCACATTTCCCATTCGTAGGGTGGCTTCCGTGGTCCCCATGGTAATGGATCAGGGATGGAGAAAGCTTGAAACAGGGAGGGGTCTGAAATGGAGGATGGAAATAGGGAGAGAGGAATTATTGTGAACTTCACTTGGCATCATATCATCAGTGTCATGGCATCAGAGAATGCTAGAGCAGGAAGGATCCTTGGAACTCATGTGGTTGAATCCTTTTACTCTTTGTAGAATGAAACAGATCCAGAGAGATTAAGTGTCATGACTGAGATAACACAAATAATAAGTAATATTTGCCTCTCCCCTCTCTCCCTTACTTCTCATTTTCAGTAGGTCCTGTCGTAATATTTATTACGTTTACCTCTTCTTCTCTAGTCCCACTGCCATTACTCTAACATCAGCTTTTGCTACTGCCTGATGCATCTATTTCAATAGCTTACCCAAACATCAATGCCCAGTTCAAAATGCTTCCTTCTTTAGGAAGCTTGCTCTGGTTCCTACCAGTTGGTAATTACCTGCCCCCTCAGACTCCACATAACACTTGGTGCCTTTCTAATGTGTGTATCTTGTCATATTGTGCATTGTAGTTATTTTTATTGGTGTCTTATCCCACAACTAGACTGTGAGTACCATGAAGGTAGGGAAAGAGTCTTATCTACGCTTCGAATTTCCCTCACCATCCAGCACAGTAGCATACACCTAGCTCTGCCCACAGTAGGTGCTTAATACATGTTTGTTGAACGAGTGAATAAAAGTTGGGATTTAGAGTTGAAAGGGATTTCAGTTAAATTCAACAAATATTTATTAATTGTCTCCTATGTTTAAGGCACCTCTTCCAGCCCCCTTATTTTATAGATGATGAAACTGAGACTTAGAGAGAGGAAGAGACTTTGTCCAGATCTTTTGAAGTCCTCAAAAGAGCCCTTAATTTTAGCCAAAGAACCTGGGCTCAACTCTCACCTATTATTTTGTTGTTCAGTAATTTTTCAGTCATGTCCGACTCTTTGTTGACTCCATTTGGAGTTTTCTTGGCAAAGATCCTAGAGTGGTTTGCCATTTTCTTCTCCAGCTCATTTTACAGGTGAGGAAACTGAGGCAAACAAGGTAAAAAGACTTGCTCAGGGTCTCACAGCTGGTAAGAATCCGAGGCCACTTTTGAACTCAGGAAGATGAGTCTTCCTGACTCCAGGTCTGATACTCTATCTACTGCGCCCACAAGCTGCCATCACCTCTTATAGCTGCTGATTATATTGCGCCCACTCTGTGGTGGTACCTTCTGAACTCATGCTGGACTGATCAGTCACAGCCAAACACACTATGCTCTGACTCCAACACTGTGATGTCAATCGTCTTCTTCAAAAATGAAGGACAAACAACAACAATACTGGTGATCTTGGGTAAGCCCCAGTCTGGTTCTCAGTTTCTTTTTCTGTAAAATGAGTGGGTTGGTCTCTAGGAAGGTTGTCCCTTCTTGTTTATGACCCTGTGATAATATTTATGTGAGAACCTCCAAAGAAAAGCCAATCAGCTTCAAATAGACTCTGGTTTGAAAAGAGACTTAGACCAATAGCTTGACTTTCTTTTTTGCGAATCTGATCATTATTTGTAGAGGAAGTGTAGGAAGATGGTATAGTCTGCATATGTCACTTGCAATCTGACCACTGCTGGGAGGTGTAGGGGAGAGCAGGGGGGAGAAAGCAGCAAAATAAAAATCAGTTATATTCTCCTCCTCCTCCCGCAGCTGTTTTTAGGGGAAGGTTTAAATAAATGAAAAATTCATTTCAAGTCATGGGGCAGTAGCCTCCATTTCAGTTTCCCTGGAGCAGACACTGTGTTTCTGTCTCTGTTTCTATTCGATATAGTGTCACAGGAAGAAAGCGCTAAAGCCTTCCACAAAGAAAGCCTTTCAGGCCTCACATCTGAAGTTGTCTTCACTCCACAGGGACCTGTGTCATCCCAAAACATACTGTCAACATAGAGCACAGCCAGCTACAATATACATCATGCATCTATGGGGTACATTCAGACCCAGATTTCAAGAGGACAATGTGGGTGTCATCTAAGAAAGGAACATATGGCATTGAATAATTAATGTATTTTAACCTCCTCCAAGGATGGAGGCAGGTGTAAGGGAAGGCACACCAAATTTGGAATTGAAGGACCTGAGTTTGAATCTCAGCTCTGTTAGTTATGCCTTGTGTGATTTTGGGGCAGTTTCCAAACCCTCTAGACCTCAGTTTTCTTTGTAAAATGAAGGGGTCCAACTGGATGCTTTCTGAAGTCTCTCTGAACTCTAATAATAGTAATAGTGATAACTCACATTTACATGGTGCTTGAAAGTTTGCAGAGTACTTTACATATATCTCATTTGAGCTAACATTCTAACATTGCAAGATAGAGGACTGGTTTTGGAATTAGAAAGACCTGGGCTCAGATACTGTCTCAGACAGTTAACCAGTGTGTGACCCTGAGTAAATCATTCAATCTGTCTGAGCTTTCTCCTCCTCTGGAAAATTGAGTTAACATGTGTAAAGTGTTTTGCCAACCTCAAAGTACTATATAACACTAGCTGTTATTACCTACTTCAAGGATGGGGCTCAAATAAAATTTTGCATGTGATATGCTTTGTGAACTTTGAGACATTAGAGAAATATCAGCTATTATTCTAAAGTCCCATTCCAGCTCTGACATTTTAGGTTCTTAGGTTTCTTTTAGGCCTGGCATTCTGTGTTTTCTGTTCTAAGATCCCTCCCAATGCTAGTATTCTATGTTCCAAGGTTCCTTTCAGCTTTGCCATCCCATGATCCATCAGTTAAGGCTAGCGTGGGTCCATTCCCCCTTACGAACACACCTTAATACAATGTTGACATATACCTGTTTGTATGCTTTTGTGAATGTCCAATCATTTCAGCATCTGTTGCCCTCTCAATACAATAGCATTAGGGGAAACCACCTTAATCTGTAAGCTTCTAGGGGGAACAACGTCCTTCCATTTCTTTTTGTTTTCTCTTCCTGGCTTAATGCACCTCCCCTACCCCACCCCCACCTCCAACCCCCACGAATACACTGAAAACAGTAGGTACTTAATACATATTGACTAATTTAATTTAAAAAGCAAATAATTATATCTTTGTATTTCTACCCCGGAATCTAGTTCTTTAAACTGCCTTCTCTCAACCCTCCCCCTCCCGGAAAAAAAAAAAATTTATCCCCTTAAAATCCGCTTATATTGGATTTTAAAAAGACTTCACTTGTTCCAAATAGGAAATGGATGGAGACCGAAGCATCCTGCAGGCCTCTCTTTCTGGGGGAGGATTCAGGTATTAACCGAACCCGTAAATCCATTCTCCAAATGCGGCAGATCTCTCATCTTTCCCGTAGCTGATGTTTAGCAGGGAATTGATTTGGGTTAATGGCTGTTTAGGAATGTTTTTTCTTTGGTTCTGATAACTGACTGATGCCTGCCCTGCGAGATGCAGAGGATGCGATCCATCTTTGCCAGAGGATGCGATCCATCTTTGCCAGGGCTCCCTGACCACCCGGGAAGAGGCAGTGGTGGAAAAATAAAAGGGCGGTAGCCAATAAACATCTCCAGACAGCTCTTTCCTTCCGCAGAGCCGAAAGGCTGGAAGGTGTACTCACCGCCAGGCGATCTCTCCTCCTTAGCAGCGAACAAAGGGAAGCCCTCAGATGAACCAGCTGTGCATCCCTCCCTTTCTGCCTCAGGATGGCAGCTCCCTCAGTGAGAACGGGGATGGAGGGGAGGCATTCCTTCTTCTGTGGAAAGCTGGCTGGGCTCTGTGTCGTCCAGGATAGCCTGACAACTGAGGGTCTTCTGGTTTTGTCTGCAAAACTGGAGACCCTCAATCATGTTCTCCTAATACCGCTGTTCCGGGCGCTGCTGCTTCCGTAGCCATCGCTGCCGGGCCCTGCCTTCAAGGTATTTGATTATTCCCAACTCACAGCTGGCTGAGGCTTAGAGCTCTTAAGACAGTTAATTATGCTGCTAGAGTGTGTGTGTGTGTGTGTGTGTGTGTGTGTGTGTGTGTGATGTCTGATACAACAGTACATCCCCCTTCCAGTGTTCATTCCTTTCTATTGGTTAGAAGAGGAGTAAATATTGCTGAAGCCTCTTCATAGGCAGAGACAGAAGAAATGATTCTTGGATGGTGCACTGACAGCTAGAACAGTAGCGGCCTTATTCTTAGAGACTATTTGGTCTGGAAATCGCAGTAGGATATAGAACATTGACTGGCAGAGCAGGAGACCTTAGACATAGAATACAGAATGTTAGGGTTGGAATGGATCTCGGAACACATTCACAATATCAGAACTGTCAGGGAATTTAGAGCATAGAACATAGAACATTAGAGCTGGAAGGGACCATAGAACCTGGGATGTCTGAACTGGAAGGGAATTTAGAGTACAGAAGATAGAATGTCAGAGCTGCAATGGACCTTAGAGCATAGAACACAGAATATCAGACCTGAAATGTACCTTAGAATGTAGTACAGAGAATGTCAGATCTGGAGGAAGTCTTGGAGCAGAGAACATAGAATGTCAGTGCTGGAATGGATCTTGGAATCTAGAACACACTGACAGAGCAGGGAGGAACCTTAGAACATAGCACACAGAATGTCAGACCTGGAAGGAACCTTAGAGCAGAGAATATAAAATATCAGAGCTCAGAAAATATCTAAAGCAACATCTTCAGTTTTCACAGGAAGGATTTGGGGCCCAAAGAGAGGTAATGACTCTGTTAAGGTCACACAAATTGAATTCATCAAACATTCAAACTACTATGATCAAAGCATTAGGCTAGGCACTAGGGAAACCAAACCAAACCAAAACCTAAACCAAAACCAGACAAAAAAGTCCTTACCCTTAAGAAGCTCATATTCTACTGGAGGTGGGGGTGGAGAGGGATAGTGCATGTTCACAAATAAATATCATACAAGGTAAATTGAGGAAGTCAGGACTACCTGGAGGAAGAGAGAGAGAGGAAATCATGAAAGACTTTTCAGAGGAGGTGACATTTGAATAGA